ACTAGAAGTAAGGCCAGGAGCCCCTGGTAGCTTCTTGTTACTCGTAGTAAGGCCAGGAGCCCCTAGTAGCTTCTTGTTACTAGTAGGGCCAGGAGCCCCTAATAGCTTCTTGTTACTAGTAGTAAGGCCAGGAGCCCCTAGTAGCGTCCTTTGCTCCTAGTAGCGATGCCAGGAGCCCAACAATGCTCCTACCGCGGCGTGAAAAGACCAATTTAAGACACCGCCGCTGCTAGCGTTCGTGAGTCACGGCCCACACTGCGAAGGTTCTCTTCCACACCCCACGTACGCGCGCCCTGGTTAGCATTGGATAGGACGCATTTTCCCATAGCCTTCAGCAAGCCTTGAGCTTAGCTCCACGATTCGCATGGCCTTCATGAGTTGTGGAGACCGCATGGCTGAAATAAGCACTCAACGTCCACCTGCACAGGACCGTGGCTCCGCCTCACATCAGTTTTGGGTGGCACGATCCCACCGCTTCTGGCGCCACTGCCCAGTTTTAACTTGGGGCGGTCCGAAGGACCTCCAGCGGCCCGAGGGATTTGTGCACCCCGCATGGTTCCAAAAGACACAACTTGGGAGCTTGGCGCGCATTGAACTGGTGCTTCCACGCACGACAAGCGATCCATGAAGCGTTGCCCGCAGAGATCAGACAAGGAGCAATCGCAGAGCGGCTCGTGAACGATGGTAAGCGCGGGCCCAGGTCGGAAAACTGTCTTTTTCCTCATCAAACACGTCGAGCATGGCAAAAAGCATCCGCATCTTGCGCTGCTCTCGATCTTTATCTTTGAACGGGCTCTCTAGAGAGGATTGCGCTTAAAATCAAGCAAAAATATAGAGACCTTGACCGACTTTTGCAAGGACAACAATGTCCTTCATTGCTTCATGGATGTACAGTGTCTTTAGTGTTCGGTTCACAATATGTTTATTCTCAAACACAGTGGCTCTCTTAGAGGGTCTGACTCTCAGTTCTGAAAATCCCAACTTGTACCCTCCGCGTCTTGCACACCCGCAGGTGCCCCCACACACCAACAGGCATGCCCCAGTAGGAGCTTGAAAATGCAAATGCTCTTCGTTGAGGACTAGAAAAGCTTCAAAAAACTAGTACCTTCTTCTTAAAGACATATGAAGCACAAAATTTTTTGGAGTCAAATTCTCCAAGCTTGTCTTGTCTGGTTTCTCTGGTTGGTTGTCCCGCTCTTGTAGCTGCTTGATGCCTTTTCCGTCTCTTGGTTTGTCTGTTCCAGCTCGGGTTTATCATCCTTCGCTTCGATTTCACCAGGTACCCCAAGAAGCCTACTAAGCCTCGGGCTTGGCTCGCACACTGGCATCGTCCAGTCTAAAGGTGTAAATGGATCCACATTCTTCTCCTCAGAATCGAGAATGAATTGAATGAAAGAATTCAAAGCACATATTGACTTTGATACATAGCATTTGTTTAACATGTTTTCCTTAGCTTCGTACCTTGCAGGTGGCCAAGGTTGGCGTACCTGCCTGGCGGTTCGCATCTCCTCTTGAAATCGGATTTTCAGATATTCATTTAGTGATTTTCTCTCCAAACTCGACTGGAAGCACCCATTGAGGTGAATTGCAGCCCATCTTGCAACTCTTCCCGCCCATCACCTCGACTCCAGAGAGGGACACGGAACCTAAAAGAATAAAACTTCTCGTTTGCCCGCTCCCTACTTAATCAAGTAAGGGCGAAGCATGCTACAAGGCTAACTTAGCATCTAGACATGGACGCAGGATAGCTCACCCTTCGTAGAAAAAGCGTTCGCGCGAATCATTTGGTTTCTAAGTTTTTAGGGAAACTTAAGTTATCTAGGCCATTGCTATTAGGATGGAGGCTTGGCGAAGTGGACGGAAGAGTTGAAAACCGGATCCCAGGCCATGTAGCAAGTCGACAAATTCAGCATGCAAAGATCAACCTAAGAAGCGCTCCAACTGTTCAACCAAGAAAAAAGCATGAAAATATTGCTCGCAAAAGGGGTTGTCAAGTTTAAAGTTCTAAGCAGTCAGACATCAAAGGGAGCCATGCAATGCACCTACAGCACAAGAGGCCGCAATCTCTGGCTGAATTGAGACTTTGCAATTTCTGACCAAATGTCAATATTGTCCGCGAAAGTATTCAAGTAGAAATGTCACGCCATCGAGGAGTTTGCACATAGGCCTCATAGGCCAAATTGGCTTTCACTCCCACTTCATTCTCACCCATTACATTCTTCGTCAGCTCACAGGCACAAGCGGTGCAGAAGGACACTCTGTGCCAAGCGGAGACTTTTTCCAGCAGCCAAGGAAAAGATCTTGCTCCATCCAGGACAAAGCTTTTTGCGTCCGGCGGAAGGGCATGCAAGAATTGAATCAGCGTGATTCATCTGCCACGCCTCCAAGTGACCTCGGAGTTTTCGCTCACCAACAGGAGCCATGAGGCTCCTCCCGCTATCAAAGTTGCAAGGTCAAACGCCATCTGGCAGCCTGTCAAGTGTTCCAGGATCGAGCTGTGGAAGTCGATCAGCAGGCAATTTTTTCTGACTCTAGAGGCGTTTCGATCCCATCCTCCTCCTCCAAAACTGCAGGCAGCGAGATCCTCTTCGAAGGACCAATGAGGTCCGCCATCCCCGAAGAGTTGCCACCATCCAGGACCTCGTCGGGAAGAAAGTCCATAGGCACTGCACACATCAAACCATCTTTTCTCTTCAACGGGAAAACGAATGCTTCCTTTGGCCCAGAGCTGTAGCCCCATTCGGTAAAGTCCAACCTCACCACATGGAGCAAGTGGATGCCCTGATCCAAAGTTTTGACATCTTTCATAGCCATGGCCGTCATTGTCTCCTTGACTCAGGGAAAGAAAACCCTGGTGCCAAACAATAGACTCGAAGGAATGAGAGATAGATCCTTCCTCGAACTGGGGGAGCAGCAGGCCTTTCCCCAATGAAGTACTCCGCAGCAGGCCTTTCCCCAATGCCCGCCATCCCAAGCCTTGACCTCTTCTTGTGTTCCTGCCAGCCTGCCACAAACGTCCAAGCAATGAGCAGGTAGAGGAGGAATAGAGCGAGCCACCAAGTCGTAGGAAGATCCCACCCTGGTAGATGCCCTTGGCGAGGAAGAGGGTGGAGCAGATGAGCTCCCCAGACCCAGCTCAGCAGGATCTTCCAGATCCCAATCTCTGATGTCACTGAAGGAAACCAGAGGCGCAGCAGCAGCCCGATCACCAGCAGATTCCAAAGAGTCCGCCAAAAGGCGCAAGGTGCCAGCGGCAGCTTTGACAGCGTTAACCAGCAGAGCGACGGCGTCGCTCATGTAGATACGCCGACAGGCGTAGAGATGAGGCCGAAGAAGGAGCGCGAGGTGAGGGCTCCTCAGAGGGGGAGACCAAAGGAATGGCCTGAGGGTGGACGAAGAGGTTTCTGAAGGAAAAATGCTAGCCAGGTAAACAAAGCTCGAGGCACAGTGAGCAGGACAGGAGATCCCCACCAACCTGAAATGGACCCCCACTGAACGAACCGAAGCGCTTCAATGAGCGCCTGGTGCATGGAGCTTGAGACGAAGAGTTCACAGTCAAGATTGTTCGTTCATATAATATGTATATATATATATATGTTTCTTTTTCGTTTTCGTCTCACTTTCAAGATGGTTCCACCTCTTTGGTGCACCCCGACCAGGATGGCCGTGCCACGCAGTCGTCATGCAAGGCTGGCGAAAGGAAACTGAGAGCGTGAAAACGTGTTTGGAACGCTTTCAAAATTTTCAAAAATTGGAAGCGGTTACCAAAAACGGAATGAAAGACCCGCCAGAGCGTCTGCAAAGGTACTCGGCTTTGCCGATGTAACCAGGAGCACCTCAAGAACTGCGGACTGAGATTTGACACAGCTTTCGAAAGCTGTTGTTTTCGAAGTTGTCAGCTCTAGACATTGCCACATTCCATTTTTCTCCTCATATCCATCCGGCGGACCCTCAGAAACGGAACAAATGGACAAAAACTAGATTCAAGCTGTATATTCAAGCTGTATTGCGCTTCAACATACAAGAACAGACGCCAAAAACAAAGCCATCGAAGAGCGGACGCCAAAAAGATTCGGGCCTCAAAAGAAGTGATGTAAGACACTCAAAAAAGGGACTTTGGGCGTTTCAAAGTGTCAGAATCGAAATCGTTGCAAAGTTTTCTGCAAGAAGAAAAAGGAACAGAATGTTTCCTTTTCCTTGCTTCTTTGTTTCTAATAGCGCGGCCTCCAACCTACTAGCGATGACCTCCACAAAGAGAAAACGAAAACCCTCTGAGGCACTGCATTTCATCTTGCACTTCGGAGTTTTGCGATCCCAGGCAAGGCCTCCACCAGACCTCGACGTTCTCAGCTCTTTGCATTCTAAAAAACATACTATTGTGGATGCTACTAAGAGCAAAGGGCATCGCTACTAGGAGCAAGGACGCTACTAGGGGCTCCTGGCCTTACTACTAGGAGCAAGGGCGCTACTAGGACCTTTCCCTGGTTCCGAAATCCCCGACACCTTACTAAAAATATCCACACACTTTGACATTGGGCTTTCAGTTAACTCAATTCCCCGAGAAAAGGAATGGCTCAACGGCAAGGTGAAGCGTCCGATCACTTGAAGGTGATTGAAATAATGTTTCTCGTCACGCATGACTGCAGAAATTTAGTTACTGATTACTTAGCAGACCGAATTAACGCCGTGCATGGAAACCTGGTTTGGGGGACATATCATGAAAACCACCATGAAAGCAAAAAAGACAGTAGAACAGCTTGGACAACAGTTGATCGCAGGCACGTCTGCGCCCAGGTGGGGGGTGTCTTCGTTGGCCGGAGACCCCCCACCTGGCTCCCCCCCTGCGTGTAAAAACTCTTGGAAACAGAGTGTGACACACACACTCAGCCGCTTTGCGGCGCTCTGGCGCAAAAACCTAAATAGGCACCTAAAAAGCCTTAGAAAAGAAAGAAAGAAAAACAGAAAGAGCGGCGCTAAAAGGGCAGGAGAGAAAGATAGGTGTAGCAAAAGGTGAATACTAGCCCTTGACTGGGGCAGGGAAACGAGCCTCAAGAACCACCCAAAAAGCCTGAAAGAAAGCCCAAGAGACGACGCAAAACGCAAGAAGGAAAGCGGGGGGCAGGGAGGGGGTGTATGTCCATGTGTGTGTGCATGTGAGTGTCTGAGTACTTAGCACTCTAGAGTTACCGATTACTTAGTAGAAACTAATTAGGTGCAATAGTTAGGGAGCGGGACTTTAGTCTTAAAGTAGACTAGAACAGGGACAACAGAGGGAAAGGCACCGACACACAAGTGTGTCGAGTACCATTTCCCTCTGTTACCCTAATTAGGTGGGGAGTAGAGAACTCGGCGGGGGGGGGGGGTTGTGTGGGGTCATTCTCCGTATGCCCGGCGGCTTTGACTTTCCGTGTACCCGGCGGTCGTAAAAACCGTGGTGCCCGGCGGCTTGGATTTTGGGAATACAGTGGTGAAACGAAGTCGGTTAAGATAATCCAACGTGCGCGGAAAGCAGCAAAATCCCTTAGCGATACTCCGGCATGAAAACAGCGCCCCAGTGACGGGGATCACACCCTGCACCCAAGTGGGACGGCAGAACGGCACACACTTTGACATTGGGTTTTCAGTTAACTCAATTCCCCGAGAAAAGGAATGGCTCAACGGCAAGGTGAAGCGTCCGATCACTTGAAGGTGATTGAAATAATGTTTCTCGTCACGCATGACTGCAGAAATTTAGTTACTGATTACTTAGCAGACCGAATTAACGCCGTGCATGGAAACCTGGTTTGGGGGACATATCATGAAAACCACCATGAAAGCAAAAAAGACAGTAGAACAGCTTGGACAACAGTTGATCGCAGGCACGTCTGCACCCCGGTGGGGGGTGTCTTCGTTGGCCGGAGACCCCCCACCTGGCTCCGGCCCCCTGCGTGTAAAAACTCTTGGAAACAGAGTGTGACACACACACACACTCTCGAGATATTGCGTACTGACGCGACTTGCGATTTGCCACATGCCAGCCTAAGTGTACACCTAGGGTGAGTATTAGTAAAGACGTTCTGACCATGAGGCCTCCGCGAAAGCCTCCAAGACTCCACTCGAAAGGCGGACGACTGCGACAGGATGACGATGAGCGCTCACATCTGCAGAGTTCATTAGCACTTTACATGAGAGTAGTCACAGTTTAGTTAACAGTTCAAAAGAAGTCCTGGAGTTGATCAGACTCCATATCAGTCGTGGCATAGCCCTCTTCGTTGGGCAGCCAGCTATGCTCACGAGGTTACTCCCCTGCAAGAAGAATCTAGAGATTCTCTGTGACTCCAAGGGTTACACATATATATATATGTCTTGTTGTTCCAATTTGTATTTTGTTTCATTTTTACTTCATGCTTGCTTCTGATCCAAGTTTTCGCTTCTTCCATGTCGGCTTTATCATCCGAGGAGCTCTTCCGAATTGTTGCACATCACATGCACAGGTTCACCCTCCTCAGTGCAATCATATCTAGCAAGCTCATATGAAGTGTCTTTAATCAAAGTGAAGAAAGCATAAAAATAAGACGATAAGGGCAGCAACAATGTTTGAAACTTGTTTTAAAGGACTTCCTAAACAAGTCCTTATCTATTCTTTCCCTACTGTTCTCCCCTTGCTCTCTTGAATAGAAACTTGAATACAAGCTTTTTCTCCTATCTTCTCTTTCTCCTACTAGTAAGGCACTTGTTACTACTAGCGATGCACTTGTTACTACTAGTTCTCCTATCTTCTCTTTCTCTTTTTGGGCTGTCTCGCAGCGCACAGCGCCGAGGCACGAAGTATGGCTCACGGCACCGAATCCAGCATCGCTCGCCCGGCTTCAACCTGTCCCCAGGCTGCCCAGGCTCTTTGTTCGTTGTTTGAAAAAGCCCCAAACGTAGTTTCTTGCTCCTACTAGTAAGGCACCTGTTACTACTAGCGTGGCACTTGTTTCTAATAGCGAACATTGTTACTAGCGTCTAGGATAGGCCGTTTGAGGGCGACGAGTTCGCTTCGAACCGTTCGATCCTTCACCGGTTAAGGTCCCGGCACAGAGCAGTTCGACACGTCGAGGCGGCAAACTGAAGAGAAACACGAGGCGGAAAGAAACACAAAATAACAAGAAGCTATTTGAATTATATTTAGTTTAAGTTAAATTAATAGCTTGTTACTACTAGTAAGGCACTTGTTACTACTAGCGTGGCACTTGTTACTAAGTGCTTTCTTTTCTTCGAGACTTCGAAGAGAAACACGTTGAAAGCACTTCAAACAGAGTCGGTTCGGCTCTCTTCATGAGAAGCTTGTCTGGCCCATGGTAAGACCTCAAATAAAGCGATACAAATCCGTTGAGAAGTCCTGGGAGCTTCCGCGTCGGACGCTGCACCGGGTGCATTCACGAGGCCTCATGAAAAAGCTGAAACAGCCAATGCTTTGCCGTGCAAAAGCTAATCTGGAAGCCTCTTGTTCCTAGTAGTGATGCCCTTTGCTACTAGTAGCTTCTTGTTACTAGTAGTAAGGCCAGGAGCTACTAGTAACAAGAGGACGCTACTAGTATGTCTTTGAAGCTACTAGTCACAAGAAGCTTCCTTGGCAGGAATCGTTTCACTTTCCCGTTTTTCAGACTTCCGTCTCAGCTGGGAGGGCAGCTGCTTGTCACTCTCCGATCGGACAACGCCCACAGGCAAGTAATTAGGGCACCTGACTGGCCGAAAATTCACAAAAAAAATGAAGAAATCAAATAGAAAGGAAAAGACATGCACAGAGAAAATGCTATATAGCAGTCTTAAGTAAACCGGTCTGCAGTGTGCAAGATGATTCAGGTTGAACCGGAGGGAGCTCCCAGTGATCCCAAGGAGTGGCGCTACACCCTACCAGACCGGTCCCATGTTGCGGAACAAACGGAGTTAAGCCAAAACAAACAAGGGGCTCCTGGCCTTACTAGAAGCAAGGTTCGCTACTAGGAACAAGTGCATCGCTTCTAGTAACAAGTGCCTTACTACTAGGAGCAAGGACGCTACGTTCGGGGCTCCTGGCCTTACTAGGAACAAGAAGCTAGTAGGAACAAAGGCTTCTAGGCGCAGCATGATGTTTCAGAGGATGAGCCGGAGACAAGGCCAGCCTTTCAAACTGAAGGGCATGAGAACGTTGTTTTTGACGAAATGGAAGCATGTTTGACTGAGCATGGTTATCATGATGCGACTTCAACAGGGTCTTCAACAGAGAGGTGTACGATGAGGAGGACATCGCTGAGGTGTTAGCAGGGTTTTAATTTACTTTAACTTTAATTCCAATAGCTTTTTGTTACTACTAGTAAGGCACCTGTTACTACTAGCGTGGCACCTGTTACTAGTAGTAACATAAATTTTGAAGCAGAAGGCAGGAGAGTTTAAGCCAACTTCTGTGAAGAAGCAAACAATAACATCCAGAAGAGGTGACACTGAGGAGTGTTACTTGGAGATTATCAGGAGCGGAAGATGACCACAGCCGGACAGTTGACCAGTCCGCAGAAATTGTTTCGCTGTTGGAGGGTTGATGCCTCGTGATGCCTCGTGAGAGGTTGCCAAAGTGTCAACAGGCTGAAGAGCCTTGATACCAAATCATGTTACTCAATCTTATTCATTATTGCAAATGCAAAGCGGAGATGCCCAAAATTGCACGCAAATGCATCCAAATGGTATGCCACCCTTCTACACTCGCCACAAACAATGAGGAACATCCCATTCTTGCACCCATGTGCTGGATGGGATGCATCTACTCCTCGGCCTGATTGGTCCAGTGCGGTGCGTTTCCTGTGAGGCCTCTAAACAAAGCCCGGCGACGATGACGATGGCGATGAGGGTTGTATGCAATCATGATGGTGGCGAAAACCGTGGTGACAAGCATGGTGATATGATGAAGGTAATGATGACGGTAATGATGTGCCAACTTCCGCCAAAATAGAGGGGATATCAGTACGCCGCTGATACGCTGGCAGATTGATACCCATAGCGGCACACAATAAAGCGGACGCTTCCTGTGTGTCGCTTGGGCTGGTGCCGGACCGAAATCGAATTGGCAATTCGAGTGACACGGTCGGTTTACCTTTTTCCTTCTTAAAACAGCCTCTTTAGCACTTTTAAGGGGCAGCACTTTAGCACGCAAAGTTGCACCACTTCTTCAAGGAAGCTCCCCCCCTAAAGGCGGCGAGGGGGGAGCTTCCTTGAACAAACGTGAGCTATCCTGCGTCCTGTCGGTAGCTTACTTGTAGGTACTAGGTATCTCTCCGTCCTACCTCACCTCTAGCAGCGGCCTACCCACCCCCCCGACTAAAAACCTTAAAAGCGTCCTTGTTACTAGTAGTAAGGCACATGTTACTACTAGCGTGGCACTTGTTTCTACGTTCGCTTCTTGTTAAACTAAAAAAGTCACAAAACGAGTCACTGCATTCTTTCTGCGGTGTCGTCTTGCTCATAGAAGCCCTGCAAATGGCGCTCGGGGCGCTCGGCTGCCCTAGGCAGAAAGCGATTTGTGATCTGAAACTTGAAAAACTTGTGGGAAGCTGAAAGTGATGGGTTTTTTCCACATCCTTCGGTCCAAAGTAGGCTGCTTTTTCCAAGTTGGTTTTGAAAAAACTGAGATCCGAACCATGCCAAGCTGCAAACCTCACTCAAAGCACAACCAAAGACAGGTCGTCCTCCTTTCTCAAAAAAATGAAAACAATTGACCGGTACCTCAGAACACAGCGTCTCTCATAAACATGTCTTAAACATCTTATTGATTGTTACTACTAGCTTCTTGTTACTACTAGTAAGGCACTTGTTCCTAGTAGCGATGCACTTGTTACTAGTGCCTTCTTACTTCAAAACGGTTTTGACATGATTCGGTCCAAGCCGCCAGGAGAAAGGTTCGCATGGTCCTGGGAAGAAAAAGTGGTTCGGCTGAAGGCCGCTCGTTTTGCTCGTTTCGGCATTCTTGTGGCGTTTGGTGCTCTTTCTGCCAAGGTACGAGAGGCCATGTTGCAAACGTACTGCGTAAAAATGTGGCTCTTGTCAAGCAAAAGCTTTGTCAAGCTGTGGTTGAAAAGACTTCACAACGGAATTTTGGCTCAGGCTACCTAAAGCAAAACGATATTTCACGTAAAACTACTTGTAACACTAGGAACCAAATCATTTCGCGGAGCCATCCTCGAGATGCTGCACCAAATGAGTCGCTTGGGTACTTCTCTTTTGTGTCTTTTGTTCAAATTGAACCTGGTATTCCATTTGGTATGTCCCAAAGATTAAAACAATTCCACTGCTTGTACGTATTCCATTTGTGTTTCTCATGTGCTTTGAACTTGGACAACAAAAAGCAAGCACGTATCAACAACTTCGGTGCTTGGCACGTATTGAAGATCGTTATTGGCAAAGTTCTTATCGAACCTTTTTCAAGAACTCTTCAATGGGCGTCTGCCCACCTCCAAAGCCATGCCTGCAGGGAATTCCATGTTTGCAAGCTACCTAGCGCTAGCGGCTAGGTCCTAGCTGCGTCCGGACACCACGAATGTCCATTTTCCCCAAACTACGAACCAAATTAAATCAACCAAGTACTTCAAGGAAGCTCCTGCCCTCAGGTCCCTGTCTAGTACTTTCCTTGCTGCCTCACCATTACTGCTAGCTAGCTACGCACTACTTACTTGTTGCCTCTTGTTTTGCAAGTCGTTGCAATGGAGTTATGCTCTGCATGCGACGACTTACGGTCTCGCCTTTGCAGATCCATTTGAGACACGGTCTACGTGATGTCAGGATTGTTTGAATCGGTTGAGTGGCCGCTTCATAGATTGGACCATTGGACCCCTACCTGTCCCGTTTGTCCAAAAAGTGGGGCTAGGAGCGTACACAGCGTGTACACAGTAAAAAGCGCACAGCACATCAAAAAAGGCCCAACATCACCAAGCTTTGAGATGGATCGGGTAAATGTATGTAAATGTACCGCAACGCTGAAGCTAAAGCAGTGTCTGACCATGTTTGAGGCTTCTGCCTAAAAGCGGCAAAGTCTCAGTCAAGGGGAGACAGAAATACAGAGACTCCAAGCAGGGTGTACCACATCACCAAAATTCGACAAACAAAATAGGAAATCATGTATCTAACCAAGCAAACATGCGATAAAGACTTGACAGCTTCAAACAGGGTGTTGATCATGTGCGACATCTCCAAATGCTTTCTACACATTTGGCAACACTGTCGACCGGCAAACTTATCCCGGAAGTGCCTCAAGCTTGTTCAGCTCTGCGAGAATGTTACCACTTCAAAGCAGACAGAAGTTGGGCTCACACATTTGGTAGGAGCAAGGACGCTACTAGGAGCAAAGGGCATCGCTACTAGGAGCAAGGGCGCTACTAGGGGCTCCTGGCCGTACTACTAGGAGCAAGGGCGGTGAGACCGAGTTTCCGCAGTAAAAAAGGACGGGAACCAACAGCCAAGCTATGAAGGGAGACATGTGGACAAGCAAAACGACGGGGGCTGTCGAGCGGTGTCTTTTTGCAGAAGACGTGGTCTGGACTAAGGGATAAGAAGGGCAAAAAGGATTTCTTCTCCATGAACGCTTCACTTGCACTTGTGGCCCAGTTCGTTCCGCGCCTATTCCGCGAGACCTGTTCACTCTTTCTCAAGGATGAGGACGAGAGCACTGTCAGGATGGCTTCTAAGCCTTGGCATCTAGGTTTGCCAAGTCTGCAGAGTCTACAGGATACAATACATTGCAATGGCCTCCACCCTAGAATCCAACCTACTAGCGATGGCCTCCTAGAAGCGATGGGCTCCACCCTAGAAGCGAGTGGTATCGCACTCCGCGGCGCTTTTTCGCTGTCTTCGCGCCTTCACACAAGGCTTGGCCAGGTTTGTTTGCAGCTAAATGCAATCGCATCCTCACAACAGAAAATCGATCGTGTGAGATTTTAGGAACGCAGATTGACACAAACCCCAAACAGTTACTAGTAGCAAGAAGCTATTAGGAACAAGGGCATCGCTGCTAGTAGCAAGGGCATTTTCACTAGTAGCAAGAAGTTACTACATACGCCAATCAGAGCTGACGCACCTCTCTTGTTGGATCTGTTGCAACTTCTCCGTTGGCAACAATCGAGCGAGGCCATAGCCCACACGCATCTCCAAGCACCGTTGCTGGACCAAAAGCATCACCAGCCTCACTCGAAATGTTTTTTCCTCTCGTTTTGGGGGGTTACAGTAGGCTCTAAAAGGTAGCCGGACGCAGGAGAGTTCACTGACGCTTCACCCTTCCCACACCTTCCGACGGACAGGCAGTCATCTCGGCTCGACGATGGGGCGTGAAGTCGGGTTTCGCCAGACCGCTTGAGCAAGGACGCTAGGGGCGGCATCGCTGGGAGCATTCTTCTTACTAGGAACAAGAAGATCCTTGGCCTTGCTACTAGGAGCAAGGACGCTTTCAGGTGCGGGGTGCAACATGACGTCACGCTTTCTGCCCCCTTCCACACGCGTATCCTTTCTTCCCGTGGCTTTCCGGTTTTCGAAGCGCCACACCGATGGAGCGGACCCCGCGAAGCAAAGTCGAAGCAAGCTTGTCCACACCACAGCAAAAGCAATGCCCACGAAGCAAACAAAAACGTGCAAAACGTGTTTTTTTTCGAACAAATTCGCTGTCCTAGTCAAGCCACAGTCCCGTGTGGAGTCGTGGATGGCCAACACCCCAGAAATTCATCAATGCTGCAGCGAAGCCGCTGACTGAGGAGACCTCTGGGTGCAAGCCCGCTAATACCACCACCGAAGCCTAGGTGCAAGGCGCAAAAACTGCAAAGGTAAAAACATAAGAAAGACTTTTGTGTCTTCAAGGCACTGCAAGTGTTGCACTTGGCATTTTCCAGACAAAAGGAACAACAACAGACACGACGACATCAATGCATTCGAAAGAGGTACAGCTATCGCAAGTGAGATGTTTGTTCGCCACAACATAGGCCACAATGGTGATTGGACGGAATTTGAAGAAACTGGCACGGCGTTGTTTTTTTTGAGTACTTTCCCAACAGAATTACTTTGCAACCGGACCTTGTCTCAGGTTCAAGGGGTGAAGTGACGTGAAGAATAGGAAAGGAGGGTGAGATAGAAACAAAAGTTACTCTTGTTTCTAATAGTTTCTTGTTACTACTAGTAAGGCCCTTGCTCCTAGTAGTGATGCACTTGTTCCTAGTAGTTCCTGAAAAAGAAGAATGCAGAAGCATTTGGAGACCTGAGCGCTCCATTCCTCGAAATACATTCGCGATCCGTGTAGTGCCCTGATTTTGAGATGTTGATGTTTGGGCGTGTTCTTCACATTTTTCGTTCCATCTTCGGTTCTGTTCGCTGTTCGTCCTCAAACCGTTCGCAGGGTGTTCTTTGCGTTACGGTACGAGACCCGTGTTGCCTACGGCATTCGCACCTCGGAAAGGTGTGAGATTGCAAATTCGCGCAGCAAATCCCAACACGCAACTGACGCGTCGCACATGCGCAGTTCATAACGGTGAAGTCTGAAAATGACCTTGATTGGGGATTCGGACAGTTTGAATTATTTATTTATGATTATACAAGCATGGACCCCAAAGCAGCTTCAAAACGGTTCGTTTAGACCAATATTAGTCAAAAATCGATTTCTTGGCACGCCCTACCTTCACCCCAAGAGCAAATTGCTTCATCAATGAATTTTTGTCGGCATTGACATCGCTATGTGTTCGGCCACACTCCTCTCCAGTAAGCCGGGCCACAAAGACCAGCACAGAGTTCAGGCGCGCGGCCAAGACAAGGAAAGAGGAGGACAAGAAGAGGACAAGAAGGCCCAGCCACAAAGCCCAGCCACAGAGGACAAGAGGAGGACAAGGCCTGAACACAGAGCCCAGCCACAGAGTTCAGGGGCGCGGCCAGTGAGTGTGGCCAGCTCTTTCTTTCTAAGAGAGAACCCCAACAGTAAACTGTTTGGGGAAAACCCCTTTTATACACAAGTCGATTGCTCCTAATGTGTCCTTAGTTTTTGCGTTTGCTTAATTCCCGGCTGCCCCAGAAACAGTGAAGAATAATTATATTTTAGATGCTTTCGGTCCAAGAAGTAAGATTCTCTATGATTTCTGTGCGATCTTATTGCTTCCTTTAAACAACTATATGTTTAAAATCAGAAGTTCCCTAAGCACAGGAAGCAAGATTCCCTACTTTTTACTCTGAAAACAATATAACATATTCTAAAATTAAAACTCTCTAAGTACTGGACAGTGTACCTCCGTGTGCGTTTTTTCTCCTTTTCGGACGGCCTCGACGTTGGTGTTGGCAAGTGCCTCGCAGAGCTCTTCCAGGCGTCGCTGCTCGGAGGCCTCGAGGAAGCGCCCAGAGTCCGAGACCCACGACGGAGGCTCCGACACCAACCTGTGCGAAGAGAAAAAGAAAAAGAAAAAATAGAAAATATTCTATGTTGCGAACCATTTTCCATAGGAACCATTGTACAGAAGTAGAACATCACTAGCATCGTAGAAAGAACATTCTATAAGTACATGTTGTATATGTTACTTGTGCGCAGCCCTTTTGCACTTCAAGGAAAAGAGCGTATGGTAGCGAAGCGGAGAAGGAGGTAACCCTTTGGAGCTCTCCATAGAACCCAAACAGCTGGACTGGTGAGACACTCTGTACCCAGCACACTGTGTCAAAGAGACATTAGTACAAGGAGAAGATGGAGGAGATCAGAGAGATCCTTCAAACTATAAGCACAGAGTACGCAAGCAACAACATCAGCAGCTGAGGCAGTGAAGAAACCTGTTGTTGCTGTTGCCAAACGATAGCTTTGATTGGGACTTGGCAACAGCAGAGGAGAAGACCAGGTGCATCAAGCTATATGGGTTGTTAGCTTCATTGATGAGAGGAAGAGCACTACAGTTGGTGAAAGCTGTGGACGACTCCTTGATGCCTGGAGGAGTTTGAATAAAGATTTTCAAACCAACTTCAAAGGCAAGAGGGTTAGCACTTTTGGGAGCAGCCACTACATGGCCAGCATTTTCAATGAACAGTGCGTTAC